GGTAGCAAATATTGTACCAGGCTCTTTACCATATATTGATGTAAATATTGGCCGGCCAAGTGATGGGTCAATTACCAATGATTGATTGCCTCTTAGTACAAGATGCAGATACTTTTCAGCTTGTAGGTGGTATTATGGCTAGCTGGTGTTGGTTTAGCTGATTTGTTGGTACATCAGTAGGTTTTTTGTTTTTGGTTGAGTCACAAACCTGCGGTCATATTTCATTTCTTATCAATCTGATTAAAATCAGCTCCTAATTAATGCTATGCATTAGGATCTGATGAAAATTTCAAACTGCAAATGATCGGCTGACTTTCACAGTTTTGAAAGTGATGTGCTTTTAATCTTAAAAGCTGGAAATTCAATACTGAGTAGGTAATTTTCACAATTTTGTGTTGGCCATATAGCTGGCAAAACAGTCTTGCCCTTACGGTCTCAATTATTTTTTGTTTTTAGCTCGACTATACGAAGTATATGGAGAGCTGTCCTACTGGCCCCGGCGTCGGCGTCCAGATTTCAGATTAAAGTTTTGGTGCAGTAAAATATTTTTCACTATAACTTTGTCATTTCTTAAGGTATCAACTTCAAACTTCAAATATATGTTCCTTATCATCAACCACATTTTATGTGACAAGGTTCATAACTCTAGCACCAATATTTTCAGATTTATCTCCCCTTGAACTTAGAATTTTCCTTAAAAAATACTATTTTTTACTGTTACTTCTTTTTTTCTTAAGGGATCAACCTCATACTTCAAATATATGCACCTTATCATCATCCCCATCTTATGTGACAAGGTTCATAACTTTAGCACCAATATTTTCAGATTTATCTCCCCTTGAACTTAGAATTTTCTTTAAAAAGTATTATTTTTTACTGTAACTTATTTATTTCTAAAGGGATCAACTTCATACTTCAAATAAATGTACGTTATCATCATCCACATCTTATGTGACAAGGTTCATAACTCTAGCACCAATATTGCAAGAATTATCTCCTCATCAACTTAGATTTATTTACTAGAAAAATGTTATTTTTTACTATAACCTTTTTAGTTTTAAAGGTATCTACCTCAAACTTCAAATACTTATTCCTTATAATCAATTATATTTTATGTGACAATGTTCATAACTCTTGAAGTAATTTTACAGATTTATTTCTCTTTGAACTTAGGATTTTCTTTAAGAAATATTATAACTTTGTTACTTTATAAGGTATCTACTTCAAACTTCAAATATATACTTCTTATCATTACATACATGTTGTGTTACAAGGTTCATAACTCTAGCATGACTATTTCTAGAATTATTTCCCTTGAACTTGGAATTTATTTTAACAAATGTTATTTTTTTACTATAACTTAATACATAATTATACATAATTGATTTTTCTTTCATAGTTTTGTCCTCCTTACTCCGTCCAGTATTTTATTAGTCGAGCTTGGCTGTCTCCTGTGACAGCTCTTGTTATTTGTTTGGGTCGTCAGACCAAACAAATAATGGTAGCGAAATTTCAGACTCTAATGCTGTTAATTGCAAGTGCCGAAAGTAGTCCGCTTTTTTGAAGCGGTTACTTCCCTTTATATGTAACACTTAGGCCGAAAATTTAGGGGAGATCACTGTGTAAATATGGTGACATGACAGGCAGATTAATTTTCAAGCAAAATAATTCCTGAATGGTCGAAGATTTCTAATATTGTTTTATTCTTTATAGATATACATGCTTATAGTAAGCGCCATGATTATTTACACAAGTGTTAAACAACAGTTAGCGTCGTTACAAACCCTAACTAGAATAATATGGTTTTCTTCAGGCCATTATCATGAAAATCCGCCGTGGCCGAGGGGTTTGCGTGCTTGCTTAGGAAGCGAGAGGTCTGGAGTTCAAATCCCAGTTACGGCAAATCCTTTTTTTTTCAAATTGTTTAAGTCAAATTAACATTCGATCGAATATCATTGTTGCAATTAGTCTTATAGCCAATCAACTACAATTAAAACGCTGGAAAGCATTGGTGGCAATATACAAAAACAAATTGTTTTATAATCTCACAACCTTCACCTTTCTGACATTCTGAGACCCAAACAAATTCAGCGCCTTCTGTGCTTTGATCATATAACTGCAAACATAACAAAATATTAACAATTTGTTTTACATCCATGGACAGCAATATTTTAATACTTCGTCTAATTCCTTATATATCTGTAAATGACAGTTTGATTGCATGGTTAATAGTTTGATTGCATGGTTAATCCTTATCACACAATGAATGCAAAACAAATGCGGTGGCAATCAGATCTACATGCAAGAAATATCTTAGGTAGATCTAAACTTTAGTCAGATTGGGGTTTTTGTAGCCATACAGGTCTGCTTTCATGTCACTTGTCTAGGACAAGACTAATGCAGTTAATTTACCTTGGCTTCCTGAAAGGTCGTAAGATTGAGGACTTATGGCTTCTTGTTCAGATTTGCCTCTATTTGACTTCTATATAGGTTTGTTCAATTTCTCAGAAAACTTACATTATCTTGGTTTAAAAATCTGATTGATAAATATCTTACTTTATCACAGCTTTTGTTAAAGATTTGAGGTCTACTTCCTCAATGTACTAAAAGTTGGTTAGAAAAGGTTCAGGGCTGTAACTGTTTGAGCAATCCAGGTGTAATTGGTTCCATCATTAGGCAAGGAAAAATACAGTGAAAACTCTGAAAACCGGACCCTCTCCGGATTTGACCAAAAGTCCGGTTTTCAGAGGATTCCGGTTTTCAGAGGTTTTATACATTTATTGATAATCATGATGTGATTGAACAATGACTTTGTTAAAACATTTTTTATTTACTTTTTAACATGTTTATCTAAGTCATATTTTAATTTCTTTTAGCAATTAATGTCTTAAGTAATTTTATTATGCAAATCCATGAATAAAATACAGAAAGTCAGAAATTAAAACAACACATTGTCTGAAATATATCTTTTTAATTGGCTTTTGAAATGTGTAATTAATGGACTTTAGTATTACTATTTTTGCATGTAAAAAATATTTAAAAAAAAAGATCAAAAATTTTAGCAAAACAGGAATCATTTTACAAAAGTTTATAATTCTTTTAGACATTTTATATTTAAAGTAGAAATAAAACAGACAACAAATTAAAAACATTTAGAAAAATCATACCTGTACAGGGAAAGGCACAATTATAATGAAAGAGCTATATAAATTTAATTGACAATAAGAAATAACCCCCCACTTACATGTGTTTCCACACCTGCATGGATAAAAAGGTGATCATTAACTGGTAATTGATCATGTCACCTGTTGAAATACTTTAAAATACACAGAAAGTTGACACTTGAAATTGTTGTCCGGTTTTCAGAGGATTTTTTATGCATGTTTAGCATTAGAAGCCACAGAAAAGCGTCCGGTTTTCGGAATTCAGAGGTTCCGGTATTCAGAGGTTTTTTTTCAATGAACATATAAGGAGAAAATACGGGACTTTTGAAATGGTCCGGTTTTCAGAGGATTCCGGTTTTCAGAGGGTCCGGTTTTCAGAGTTTTTACTGTACTATGCCACAGTTGATCTCTGATATTGAGTTTAAATAGTCTTTAAATTTTGTCTTTTACTGCTGATTTTGAAATCATGCAATTAACAGTTGGTCACTTATGGAGAAATTTATAATAACTGGTTTATTAAGTTATTCACAGAGATATGACCAAAATTATGTAAAATCAGCATAAAAATCATACAAACAACATATTTTAGCGGCATAAATAATTGAGATGTAATTTTAAAAGCTTTTTGCAATATTTACAAATTATATCTCATTCTAGAATATACAAGAATAGACTGTAAAATTTTAATTTCAAATCATTTTACATGCAGTTTATCCTATGAATAGCTTATTTATGTAGTTAAAGATTTCATTACCATATTAAATAACATAGGTATTTCCTCTGTATACTACAGTAAGTGTTACGTGAGAAAACCCAGTCTTATTCAAAATTTCTTTAAATTCATGGCCATGGAAAATAGATGAGATATGATCTGTTTAAATATGACAGTCAGATGTTTAATCATTGTGTAGCGAAGTCAGGTAGGACATCTTGTTTTACATGACACAGATACATTTTAAAGTTGTACTGTGTAATATAAAATGTTGAGGGAAGGGAGGTTATGCATCCGAGTAAATACAAGTAGGTTACAGAGTAAACTCCCTTGGATTTTTTTTAAAATTATCTTCATTACAAGCTGCATCATTCAAATTTTAGTCATTTAACATGTTTATATAGGTCCGATTTAGAATTTATATATAATTAATAGAGCAATATGAATTTTATTAGAAAATCATTGTGGTTATTGGATGCCATTTATTTGATCATCTAGGCCTAGCGTCATCAAAATACAAGAAGAATGGTTAAAATAATTGATGTTTTTTCTGGTTATTGCAAATCAATGGCCAATAAAATCAAAGGTTTCTGCTTATAGAATTTAATGCTCATTACTTGATAATAAAGTTATTGATGTGTAAACAGCATAAATTTTATTAGTCTCTGAATTTTCTGTTGTCAACAATCATAATTTTTTTCATGTTTATTTTTGCAATGTTGAAAATCTTATTGTCGAAACAGCTGTATTTTGTATTTTTTTATTATTCATAGACCTTTAATAGTGTGATTTTGATGCAAAATTATGCATTGACATTCAAAATACATATTGACCTATTACATCAGAATTTGATGATGTCACAATGACATCATCAACGAAGGGTGAGCGTCTGCCTCTCTACCCAGATCAAGTATGGATTCAAGCCTTAACTGGATCATGACCATGTTTCCTAATAAAACAACAATTTCAGAAAAGGAAAGTGTTCAAATAAGCTTTAAGCTTTCAAAAATTAGTATATTTAAATTAACAGGTCAAGTCCTATGTGTGAATTTCAGGTAATAAAATCTATATTTTGACCTCAACAGAAATATATACATTGTACAATGTATATATTTATATTTCAGGAATCTGGCGGACGTGAGCAATGACAATGTTCTCAGTGTAGAGGAGTTTGTGCTTGCTATGCATTTAATATTGAAAGTGAAGGAAGGTCTTCCTATCCCACGAACACTTCCCAAACATCTAGTCCCTAAGACAATCCCAGCTGTAGATATATCAGAGATTTCGGACAGTGAAAGAACTGCTTACCAAAATGTGTTCAACAAACTATCTCATGCACAAATTGATGGTAATATATCTGTGTTCAATTTTTTTGTTAGCTCGACTTTTCGAAGAATATGAGAGCTATTGTAGTCGCCCCGGCGTCGGCGTCAGCGTCCGCGTCTGCGTTGGTTAAAGTTTTTTGTAAAGTCAAATATCTCAATTATTACTTGAGATATTCAATTGAAACTTACAATACTTATTTATAGTAACAAGGTACATCTGATTGACAAGTTTGATAACTCTGCCTACAATATTTACAGAATTATGCCCCTTTTTAACTTAGAAATTTTGGTTAAAGTTTTTTGTAAAGTAAAATATCTCAATTATTGCTTGAGATATTCAATTGAAACTTACAATACTTATTTATAGTAACAAGGTACATCAGATTGACAAGTTGGTTAACTCTGCCTACAATATTGACAGAATTATGCCCCTTTTTAACTTAGAAATTTTGGTTAAAGTTTTTTGTAAAGTCAAATATCTCAATTATTGCTTGAGATATTCAATTGAAACTTACAATACTTATTTAAAGTAACAAGGTACATCAGATTGACAAGTTGGATAACTCTGCCTACAATATTGACAGAATTATGCCCCTCTGGAACTTGGAAATTTTGGTTAAAGTTTTTTTGTAAAGTCAAATATCTCAATTATTGCTTGAGATATTCAATTGAAATTTAAAATACTTTTTTATAGTAACAATGTACATCAGTTTGCAAAATTGCATAACTCTGACTGCAATATTTGCAGAATTATTTGCCCCTTTGAAACTTAGAAATTTTGGTTAAAGGTTATTAAGGTCTTCAAAGATATTTACTTGAAACTTTACACATGCACTTAGGGTCATAATTGGAGGGTCATAATTGTATGTCACTGACCAAGTTCCATAACTCTATCTTGCATTAAAGCTGATTCATATCCCCTTTTCTACTTAGTCTCTTGGTTAATGTTTACATGCAAGTTTTATATATCTCAATAACTATTAAAGATATTTATTTAAAACTTCACATATGCATTTAGGGTCATAATTGTAGGTCACTGACAAAGATCCATAATTCTATCTTGCATTTAGGCTGATTTTTCTCCCCTTTTTCAACTTAGAAATTCATGGTAAAGTTTTGCTTGTAAGCTGTTATCTCAATAACTACTGAAGGGTTTGTGCCTTTTTTGGGACAATTTTATGCATTCATAATAATAAAGCAGTGATTTACTTGATAAAACATCTTAATAACAAGCGTTTGTACCTTTTCTGTCAAATTTATGTATTCATAGGTAATTAGTATTATTATACTCAATAAAACACCCTTGTGACATTACCTTCCGAATAGTCAAGCCAATACTGTATAATTAGACTCTCTCTAAGGCCTATAACATGAATTTATAAAAAAAAAAATTAGCCCTTTTGTGAACTTAAAAAATTTAAAATTATCAAGGCTCTTTTACTATCAAGCACTTAGAATAGTCGAGCGTGCTGTCCTACCGACAGCTCTTGTTTTTTCATTATTTTTTTTCATACATAATTATTTGACACATGTATCTGTTATGATTTCATTTATTAACCATATCATACGAAATTTATACTCTTTGTATTTGGAACAGTCTATTTATTTTAAGGGAGGGGAGTGCAATGTTAAAATGATAAAAATGAGTAGCAAACAGAATAGAACCTTGTCAGCCTGCAGGGAACTGGACAGTATGGCATGGCCATCTCATAGCGCAGGGAGTTTATTTCATGGCTTGCATAAAGTAAAGCCATTATCTTAATAAAAGGTTCGAGAATAAAAAAGTCAAAGTCCTGATATTTCAAGGGATGGGGAAGTTTTATTGCAGTTCAATGAAGCACAGGTTATTACAGTCATCTGTGATATTAAACTCATCATTTCGAAATGTGAAGATAAGATAAATGCATGATTGTCACGTATTAAATTCACCATAGTGAGATATCAAACTATAGTCTTGTTACTCACTTTCACAACTGTTGTTTATTTCTCAGCCATTCAAGGGAGACAACTCTTATTGGAGTCAGCATTGTCAGGGGAAGAGTTGTCTCATATATGGGACTTGTCAGATATAAACAGAGATGGACAGCTGGACAGAAATGAATGGAATGTGTCATGTCATCTTGTACGACATCTAAAACAAGGTATTAAAATTCTATATACATATATAGTGTAATGTTCTCTGACATGAATAGTTGTTAACATACAGATTGTTTTATCAAGAAGTATGTTGTGAAGGGCATAGAGTGTCGGGTGTCACTGAATGGGTAATGCTCGGAACTAGTAATCTATTGCTCAAACCCCATCAGAGACAATGTCATTTACTTGAGCAAGAAACTTTACACTCATGGCTTAGAACTGGTTGGTTCCAGGAATAGATTCAAGAATGCCTAAAAGCTTATAGTCTTCTACACATTCAAACTAAAATAAATGCTATATAAACTATAATGGCATACAGATGGATACATATGGACAATCAAAATGTTTTATTTCCATGCCACTATATGTATACAGCATTGGCACCTGTAAACTTTAAAAGAAATTGGAAATTATACCAGCAAAATACAGTTAATTACTGTATTATTGACCTGGTGTTGTCAGAGAATTAAAGCTCTCATTAATATTTGTTTACCTTACTATCCAACGCTATGGTTAAATAAAATGAAATTGTCAGATTGATTAAATGTTTGATCTGCTAATAGAAATTCTTGTTGTTGTTTTTTTGTTTGGCAAAGTGATTGAAAGATTTTAAATATTTTGAAAGTATAATTAAAAAGCTTTGAAGTAGGTCTTTCAGCCTACATTAAAACTTGTTTGACAGTAATCTAAAAATTGTACAGAATATGAAACTATAATTATATGGTTATTATTTAACCCTTAACCTGCTGAAATTGTGTAATGGACTTGCCCTGCTTTGAATTTGGAACAGTCCATTCAAAGTTTCAGGGATTTCAGTAACAAAATACAATAGATTAAGCTTCCACAAGTATAGAGCCTTGTCAGGGTTCACAGTAATACAGACTAGCCTGGCTCTATACTGGTAGTAAAGGCTAATCACTTTTGGATCCAGCAGATTGCAGGTCTAAGGATGTGAAGATAGTTGATATATATGTTGGATTCATCAATATATGTATAATAGTTATGAGTGCTAATTTGTTGTGTTAACTTTAGGTGGAAAATTATCTGGTCCAGTGAATGTTTTCCAGTTGATACCTCAATGTCTATCTCCGGTTTGTTACCTCGCAAGAAAACACAGGTATGATATAATTCTTGAAAAAAAAAACAATATCAGTTTTTTTTAAAATGAAAGTATTGCAATTAAAAGAAAATTACAAGTTTCGCTGCAATGTTCTTCTTGTATTTATTTCTGTAACTTCGATTTATCTTGATTTTGGATTGTTCATGAAAAACAGGAATTTAAATTTTTGTGTCTTCAAGTAAATATTTGTTGTTGATAAATACATGACCTCTATACATGACCTCTATACATGACCTCTACTGATTTATCATTGAACAAAATGTTATATTTGCTCTCTTATAATAACACTTGACTGTTGCTATGATAGATAAATGTTTCTTATTCTTGTATTGTATAGCTACTGTTGACAATATACTTACTTTAATTGAGTGTTGCCAAGTATCAAAATTTGTTTTAAAACTAGCAGAGATTTAAGATAATTTAGTGAAATAATTCTGGTCTTTTCTTTCATCTGACCTTGTATGTTTTAAATGTTGAAACATACATTATCATTAAAGTTTATTTTTAATATTCACTAATCTGTTATCAAATTGAAAATATGTCAATACTCATTTATTCACTCCTAAATTAACATTTCATTATCTAGATTTTTAGAGGTACTTGATTGATTAGATTTTCTTGAATAATTGTGGAATATGTTCTGTTTTTAAACTTTTAGAGTATGGCTTAAAATATTAGAATTTTCTTGGGTATGTTTTCATGTTTGATTTTTGTTTTTTGTTTTGTTTTTTGTCAAGTTAAATTTTAGATTTCTCAAAGAATTTTTATGCTGACCTTGAAAAATCTTTTTTACATTGTTTGCATTGAGCACAATATTGTGACTTAAAATTTGATACCTATTTATTGTTATTTATGAGCGGGAATTTGAATATCAAAATAAGATGTTTGAAATCATTGATTATCTGGGACAGTGTACAATACAGCAGATATTTTATAGATTTTTACTTGCACAAAAAGGAGATTGCGGTGTAACCTGTTATGGACACATGATATATGAGCTGTTGAACCTTTGTCTTTAATTTTTAATGTAATATTGTTTTGGGGATAAGTACAGCAGGAATAGTAATATGTCAGTATAGAAGAACTATACTGGCAATAAAGGATTATTGAATTTTCTCTTTTAAGTTTAAACAAAGGTGTTTGATTAGATTTTCCAGAATAACTGAAGAACATGTTCTGCTACTGAAATTTTAGTCAGACTTATTTATTATAGCTGATACATGTTATTGAATATTTTGTGCATTATATAAATATGTGGCATATGAATTTTGGTGAGCTTTTTCTGTAATCCTGCGAATTTTTTTTCGCTGTTGTGTGTATTGTAACTGAAAGACTTCTTGTGGTTTTCAGAGTTGAAGAGTACAACAAAAAGAAACATCATCTTATGACATTAAAGGTATATATATATATTTTATTTTTAATCGCAAAAAAAAAACGTTTCTATTACTGCAACATATATTTTATGAAGTTTGCTTCATACAAGATGCATGTATTTGAAAGTTTTGATATTTGTAATGCTGCAATGCATGACTAAATTTCAAGGAAATTTGATCATATTTATGTATATAACTTATATCAAATTAGGATGAAGTGAAAATGCAGACATAAAAAAATGCACAATTTTCCTTGTTTTGAATATTTAAGTTGAAATTCAAATACATGCATGTGTATTAAGTTGGAATAGTATTGTAATACAGATGTGATGTTTGAATAAGAGGGCTTGTAAATCAGTAGAGTTAATATAAAATTGTTGCTTATAATGACCTTTGAACAACCTCCCAAAGTTCTGAAGTGGATTGTAGAAAATTAGTATTAGTTTACTCACATTAATCTGTCCGTTTATATTGGATTCCTGACCAAAAATAAATATAATATATTGCTTATATCTCTGACTTTATGTTTACTTTCATTTTGAATGGTACTCCATAACTACCATTTGGCAACTAATTTTGCATACTTAGAGCTACTTTAACTTTGGTCATTAAATGCTCCCTCCCTGGTTTTGAATAATCTTTGTTGTATTTTAGCTGGGCATGAGTCTAGCAATGATTGCAATTGTGGGAAAAATCCTGGTAGTTTTCAAGCAGTAATATTACATATTTGTTGGTTGCCTGTCAATGAATTACATTTCAAGTGATCTATATATAGATTATATTGACACCGACCTTTAGAGGTCATTGAGGGACATAGAATTTTGTTAGTATTTTACCTTCCATGTGTATATTTTGTCTAGGACTGACTTATTCTGAAATCAGTTGTCATAGCATTTTGAGCTATTATAAAGGCACATTTATTTAAATCAGGATTTTATATAAAAAAAAATCATAAAGATGGAAATACAGAGTAAGTATGAGTATACTTTTTAATAATTAACACATTTTTTAAAAAATTTTTTAGTAATAAAAGATGAACTTAAAATAAAGTGATTTCAATTAGATTATAGTTAATTTATTTTTAAACACTTTAGATGTATGTGAATTGCTTTTAAAAGCATAATTTCAATTCAGATATTGAACAACATAATTTATGCTTTCTTGTCTTTTGTAACATTGTTTTCCAAAAATATTTCTGAAACACAAAAGTGAAAATTATCCACAGTTCTGTGTACAAAAAGGTGATGTGCTAAGTAAAGTTATTTTTTATGAGAATCAGTTTTAAGCATAATCATTCTGTAATATTGTTGTGGAATTTCACATCAGTTTGACATTATCAATAATCAATATTTGGTTTATAAGGATTTAAATATCTTATTGATTTGATGATTGATCTATATTGAACAATGATTAATGTATTGATGAATTGTCAAAAGATAGGGCGCAAAAATTAAGCTGATTGGTGTTATAGTAGTTTACATGTTTCCCTTTTCATTGTTTAAAGACCATTGTTAAGGAAAGGAAAGGGTGTATGAAGTGATGGTAATATTGGTTATCAACATTTTAATAACAAATAATTGTTTTTGTTCCACATCAGGAGAGGCGTAAATCACAGATTGATAGTGAATCTAGGAGACTTGAACTGTTGAAGAAAAGATTTGCACTTCACAAAGAACTTGTAAGTATCATTTATTTTTAAATGTTTTGTTTTTTCAGTAGGGTTTTTTTTCTGTCATTTTTTTTTCTTTTGAGGAAACAGTAGTATGCTTTGAGAGAGAAAAGGATTCAGATGCCTGGAGTCATTATTTTATTCTAACTTTTGATTTCAGATAATTCAGATGCCTTAAATCATATATCTAACTTTTGATTTCAGAATGTTAATTTTGATAAGGTTTTAAGGTGTGATGTGTGACATTATAATCTTCATTTCTAGTTGAATAATTCATTTATTGTTAACCCAATCATAACAATATTGGAACTGAAATGGCAAAGCCTATGCCACTTGCAAGGTTGCAGAACCATGTCGCCTCAAAAGACACTTAGAATTCTTACTACTCAATTTAAGTATTTTGACTGGACTATTTCGAATTTGGCACAGTCACAGAGCAAGTCCATTTATTATTTCTGCTGAATATTCATAAGCAGTTATAATATTTACTAAAATCTAGATATTAAAATGTTTAATGTATTATAGTACGAGTGTTCAAAATCGACGGAGGGTATAACAGTTCCAGAGGAAGAGTACAATCTCTACAAGGAAAAGGAGGAGAGTAACATTGAGAAAGTTGAAGCTGTTATATACAGGTTGGTTGAGTACTTTCTTGCCCCTCAGCGCTGTGGGTTCAAATCCCATCAGGGACTTTTGATTCTTTCATGTACACTAGTTTTCTTTGGGTTTACTTTATATTAAAAGTAACAATGCACTTAACATTTACATGTGACAGGATATTTATTAACATTTCATCACGTTTGTATCTTGGAATGCATTTGATTAAATTTTTTCTTTTTAAAGAGTCATACAAAAGAATCTAATTATGTTTATCTCTCCAAACGTGCACATAAATATTATCTTTGAATTGTGTGATAAATGTTCTGTTTAATTAAATTTTTATGTTTTTCTTATGTGATTTAATGAAGATGAATTGTCAAAAGAAAAAAAAATGACTTTGGGAATGTTGCAACATAAGCACATGCAATAATGTACTTTAACAAACAGTGATTGCCTTTATGGTCGTTTCTTTTGTTATTTGTTGATAAGATATTATTTAGGGATTCATTTTCATCAAATTTAGATCAAGAAAACAGTATTAATGATAAATAAAAGAAAGATAAAGAAACAGAAAAAAGTCTTTCATCTTGCTGTTTAAATTCAAAATTAATTTGAATTTTCTTGTTGAAGAAGATTATCATTCTAAAAAGAGTCATCTTGCTGTAAAAAATTTAAATGTGATTCCTCTATCTTCACCCTTATGTAGAGCTTGGCTGAAAAAAGGCGTCTTGATGTTAAAGTCTCAAACGTGAAACCTTCCATCTTTGTCCTCAATTAGGAAACAATTCTAAAAACAGTCAACTTGCTGTTAAAATCTCAAATGCTACAACCCTTTCTTGTCCTATTCTTGTATCACTGTCGTTACTTCATGTATAGAAGGTTTTTAAATATTTGATTTATTTATATTATAGATTAAAGAAGGAGCATGAGAATATACGTCAGCAGACGGTAAAGGTTATACTCGGTGAACAAGGTAGTTTACAGGAAGATGCTAGACTTGTCAAGCTAGAACAAGAAGATGTGAGGCAAAAATTAGCCACTTATCATACCAAAGCTACCAAAGATCCTGATCCATTTCATCAACTCTATGAACTTAGAAGAGGTATTAATATTCACAATTTTTCAGTTCATTTGCCTGTATTTTTTTTTCATTTTTTTTTCTTTCTTTTTTTGTTATAACAAGTAATGCTAATTTGAATGAGCTTTTGTGTATACCTTTTGTTAAGAGCATGTATATGATCTTAATGGGAAATCACTTTCCACTTTTTGGCTTAATATGCCTTACTTCATATTCTTTATTAGTTTTCATTCATTCTCATGAACATAGATTCAAATGTCAAAATCCATTAAAATGTAGAGCTGTAGAGCACATGAATGTAATTTTGGCTTGTTAGATGATTGTTTTAAAATTTTATAGATCAAATGCATGATAATTTGTTTTCAGATTTAAGAAAGCGGAGCACGCTTTCCGAGGGTGAGGAACCAGAAGTTCATTTCCCATTTACAGCAAACCCTTTTGATAAGGAATCCCTTCAACCAAAGTTTTCCGGCCACTCAATATTCATATCTCCCAACCCTCGTGTATTCAACAATAATAACAGTCACAAAGAGGCAGCCATTTTGAAGGAACTTTGTGGGTTCGGAGACGGGTTTGTAGAAAAGTGGTGTGACGGAGTGACAGTTGGCGACCTTGACGTTGATCCTATATTCATGTCAATAAATGGTAAGGGAAAGGATTTTGTATACTTAAGATGTAGAATATTTTAAAATATGTTTGTCTTTATATTTTAGTTATATTATTAAATACAGTTAATGGAATAAGAGATTGAAATAGCTTTGGGAACAGATTTTTTTATGATTTTTAGTTCGACTATTTGATAAGAATAAGTAGAGCTATCCTAGTCACCGGAGCGTCGGCAATTGCGTAACTGCTTATGTTAAAGTTTTTGTAACACGTCAATTATTTTCAAAGTCCAAGAACATATGGCTTTGAAACTTTGCACACTTGTTCAACATGATGACCCTAACCTATAGACAGGATAAGGTAACTCTATCAAGCATTTTGACAGAATTATGCCCCTTTCAACTAAGAATTTACGTTAAAGTTTGCATACCACCTCAGATATTTTCATATTCCATTGACATCTGGCTTAGAAACAACACTTCTTTGAGAGCATTATAGGACTCTTTCCAAGGCCTATAACTGCAACATGGATTTAAAGAAAAATTTGGCCCTTTTGTTTAACTTTGTTAAATTTAACATTATCAAGGCATCTTTTACTAATAAACACTAAGAATAGTCAAGCGTGCTGTCCTACTGACAGCTCTTGTTTAATATATGTTTGATTTAATATGGAACAGAAGACATGTACAGTCATATTCTCAGTTGTGAGTTAAGTTTGTAGAAGAAACACAAGTTTCACAAACAGTGTGTAAAAGATTTCTCTAAGGTGATTTTACCTGTTAATGGTGGAAAAATGTTAAAATATCAGATCTTACTTGCTTTTTATAACATTATGACTAATGCAGATTGCACAAAATAAAATGAATTTTGATATTGAAATTTTGCCTGATATCCTTACAGTGCCAATGGATAACCGTTGTTGGTCCGGTGTTAACTGGTCAGAGACCGGTAATGAGCAGGTTAAAGGGTTACACCAGAAACTGGTTGATCTAAAAATAGAAATGCAGAATCTTAACGAGGATAATGGCGGACAGTTATTGTTTGTAAGTAAATTGTGGATCCCTAGATAATGTGGTGTCTTTTATTTCAGTTATATCTAAAATCTAATCGTTTCTTGTAAAATATTCATGTCTTTTCTTGTGTCATAAACATTATGTGTATTCCTAATCCTTTTGTTATGTAATGTGTAATGTATTCTTGTGACATATACATACTTGTGTAATTCTTTCTTCCTGTACATTTTCTCATATAGCTAAGTGCTAAATTTTATCATACCCTTGTGCAACATTGTCACCTGAGATTTAATATGATACAATTAATTATGAATGTCTTACCTGTTTTAATCTTCATTGCAAAAATATATCAAACAATTATAACATATAACTCCATAGAAATATATGTAACATTTCTTTTTGGGTCTCATATTGTTTTCTTTAGATTGAGAATACAATAATTCATATCTACCTTACTCGAGTAACACAATGGTTTTCTCCCTTTCCTTTATAAAAAGTTTATCAGGATTTTAACTGTAGTTAGTTTATCTCTCATTCTCTGTATGCAAATTAATTGTAAATGATAATTAAATTCGTAGTAGTGACATGTATTGAGATTCTGTGTGTTAGTTTTACTTATGAACCTGCATGTTTACTGTCATGAGAAAGACAGATTTGCTGATTGCTCTGTTAAAATATGTCGCCTTACAGTAGTTTGATTATGATGAAAGCTAGATGCTATTTTGAAGTCAGCTTCCTGGAATAAACTGGTGCTGGTCTGTGTCATGTGATACAACCATGGCTGTGACTCCAGCAAAGATCGTACCCATAATTTCTTGTCTGAGAGGCTGACACCTTAACCATAAGACTTATCTGTCCCTTTCTCTCATCATTTGAAGAAAAAAAAAACTGACACATGCCATAACGAAACAAAATGGAAACAAAAAATTATTCATGAGCTCCTATTGTTGCACTACAAGAACAAAATGTGGGTAGATTTTAAAGGTACTTTTTCATAGTTCACAAAGATTTTGATTTCAACTTAATTTGTTTTAAAACATATTTGTGGTTATACATAAAAATTATATAAAACATGTGAACTTAGAGCTGATAGTATGACAAATATCGCTGGTATTATTTTTGTGTGTGTGTGTGTTTTTTTTTTTTCCTGCTAAAATTCTGTCATGACTTACAAGGATATCAGTCAATGGGAAATTTTATATTTAACTGATATACTTCCAAGTATTATATAAAAAAAGGTCTCTCAGTCTGAAATATGAGATCATATGCACACTTTTTTGTATTATACTGGAAACTGATATTTTTATGGATGATTTTAGGTTTTTCTATTTAACAAACAAAATAATATTAGTTAAAACACAAAAAAATTGATACAAGTGGTCACATTTCTGTATTAAAAAAAACAATAACAAACAGTTGATTTGGAGAACATTTTGAATTTTTACTCTGACACCTTATAAAAAACAGTTGTTACCTTTAGTGAAGTAATGGGTTAACTTCCATTTAATTATATTAGGAGTTAACCTGTTACTGCACTAAGTTGACACATTGTGCTAATTTAAAATATGCAGATAACATTGTTTTTTAAGTAGAGAATTGAAATATAAAAAAAATTGCCCTAAGGCTTTCTTTTAATTTATAAATAAATAGGGTATCTGTGACATTAATGATCTTAGTAAAAGAGATTTGTATATTATTTCACAAGATAATGCAAAAGTGAAAATGAAAATCGCCACTCCATTATTCCCACAGCTTAAACTAGATAAACGCTCCTTAAAATACTTCAAAAACAGGCTAAACACCTTAAACCAAAGTTTCAGTACATTGTGAAGCATTTAATTTTCTATTTAGTTTCCACAAATAGGCCTATTTTATTTACTAACTTGTAAGGATTACAAAACAATAGTACAATAAAAAATCTAGAATAAAGACTGTAAGATTTTAACAGTGGGTAGGGTCATATTTAATTTCAACACTTTATGGTCGACTTAAAGTATTGACTGGTTTTCCAACTCCAACAAAGCTTTACTGAGTGGATAGATATAGAAATGTTTACCCAGTCTGTCATCAAGTTTTTGGCCGCTGATCATTTGGAACACCTTTTGTTTTAAAGTGATAACAGATAGTAGCGCTATCTCAACATTTTGGATAATCTTCTGTCATCAAGGTTAGTCTCACTGATAATCTGCCTTTTTTTATCAATTTAAAAACTTGATATATTTTATAATCATATAGTCATAAATTATTATTGAAAAATTGACAATGCATTAAAATTTAATGCAAAATTACAGAATGATATGTCTGTAAGGAAGTTTCAAAATGTCTTTGAAAGTATTGGTATATTTGATGAAGATATTGTATTAAATTATTTTTCAAACCCTAGTCCTTCTAAATCGTAAACAGTCTATTATAGCATAATAAGGATTTTTATTTTATGTTAGTATACTTACTAAGGTTGGAGAAGCTTGCAGTATAGGGCTTGGTCAGACTGCACAAAAGTGTGCACCTGTTTGGTGCGACACAACTGTAGCTGAAATTACATAATGAAGGAGTTATATCCATTTTGCACCAATCCATTGCTGCACACTTACTGAAAGGTGGCTCACTCCAGTATATTGTTAGTTATTTTAATTTGGAGCCACAGATATAGAAATTACTCCATTCCTGAAGATGGTGCAAATTAAAATTACACAGGACTTTTGTTTTTAAATCTGAAAGACTTGTTCATGATTTTAGATTGGGTAGCATGGGATTTAACTTGCGATACCTAGGGTTTTGGTCAGAGTTTACTAGGCCACTATTGCCCTCTTGCCTGACTGTATTCTGCTGACATAGGTGTTTTATTATTGCTGCTAGCTATGCCTAGTTATCTAAATTTATTAAATTATAACAACCTTATTTGGTACTATATGACTGCTTCATAAAGAAGAAAAAGTTGTAAACTAAATGTATACCTTTTAAAGTTTGGAGAAACAGCTCTTTTAATGTTGGCAGGTAAATAGAGTTATTATTGCAAAAACAAATATAAAAAAAATTAAACTTAAGTCTACCTTTCACTGCAGATAACATTTTTTATGCAAGATAATGCACACACACATTGAATCTCTACAAATAAAAAAAAATAAAAAATCCTTAAAGGACATGATTTGATTTTCACATTCCACGTAGACATAATGTTAGGAATATTTATGGTTTCAGAGAAGGTTTGTACAGTTTGAAGTGTTCAACAAACAAGTGTTATCTATTTATACCACCTCCCAGCAGTCTACTTTATATACATTATCACAATAAATACTGATTCGGATAAGAACAAACGCCTATTGTGTGTCAAATTGTCAAAAATGAATATGCTGTTAAAAAACCATAAAAGTGATCCAAAGCTCCTGTTTAAGTACTTTACACTCAGTATAGAGACAAATATATGTATATGAGATAAGAAATAGGCTGCATTTTTTCAGTCACCAAACTGTGTGTCAAGCATATTTAAATGGTCATTTATCATGCAAGCTGAAATGAATTTGATGAGCCTCTTTTAGGGGCTGCAACAGCTAAAACTAAAAAAAAACGACCTTGAATCTTTTTCTCATGGGTTAAGCAACTTTTGGATCAATCTTTGCCAAAATTGATAGTGAACATTAGACCATACTTAAAATTGTTCAAATAAATTTGTTTAATCCCCTGTTAAGGGCCCACAGTGAAAAAAACTTTGGAACACGTTCTTGTATACCAATGTAACATTTATTCAAGTGAGCAATGCAATGGGCTATTATGACCTGTTTGTTGAAGGTTGAATTTTAAGTGACACTAACACTGTAAATGTCAACATTCCAAGTAGACCAGTAGAGGACTGCTTTGGACACCCCTCAATTTGGTGCCCACCTTGCATTATTATAGGTAAAAAAATGGAGTGGCACTAAATAAACTCACTAACTCTTACTTTGCAAGTTGAATGTTCAGTGACATGCCAAAACAGTTAATACATTAAGATATCTGATAAGATTCTGAAATACTAAAGGTGTTTTATTTTTGCTATGAGTTTAATAGCTACAATATATAACTTCAAGAATTTTGTTGAAAATTATAATTTTGTGTCCAAACCTTAGCATAAAAACTCTATTGTCATTTCTTATGACCATATCAAGAACAAAACCAATTGTTGTTAATTAAACATTGATTGATTGGTTATTTGTTATTTATTGTACAGGCAGCATGTACTGTGGTCAACACACCTAGTTTTATGAGAATATAACGTCCAGCTGATTGAACCCCATTGGAGAGCTTTGTCATGCAACTTTTACTTTTTGCTTCAAACCTAATGATTATTAAACAAATAAATGTCAGCGGAACTAAATTGATGAGTTATTACTAATTTTTTTTTTAGAGGAGAAAATTTTTATGATTCAGTTATTTGTGTTATGTATTGTCATATTTTGTCATAGCATACTGTTAACTTAAATTTGTATATGGTTATGGAACTTATCTTACTCTATTTTGACACAGTATTTAAAATATTTGATAAGATTTGATAAATTGAGAATATCACTGAACTACTTCCTTACATGTATAACAATTCTCCCTTTGGCATTTTGTCTATATATTTAAATATTTATAAGTCTGATGTTTATTTCTTTGCATTTGGAAGTAGATTTATTTATTTTAACCTTTGCATGTTTGCAGAGATATTGACAGACTAATATGGCATCAGTATGGAGCCAGCTAATTCTTCACATCCCACCATTTCAGATATCAAAGTCCCTGAAAGAAACCATGGAGTGTTCCAAGTCCATTCCACAAATCTAGTTGATAAAATTTTAAGTAGTAAACTAAATGGTACAAAGTTTGTACAGGGTTGATCCTTTTTCCTTGCCGTTTCAGATAAGCTATTAAAAAATAAATTCTCCCGTTTGATTCTTATAAAGTTTGATTCTTATAAAAAAAATATCTACTGAAAAAAACTAACACCACACCTGCAAAATATCTAGATTCTTGAAATGTCAAAGGCAAAACTATAGAAGTCAGGAATGATCTGC